TACCTTTCGCCTTTCCATTGTACTTTCAATCGTGATTTAAAAGCTACGTCACCCCTTTATATGCGTGTGTACCGTTACGCGAATCTAATCGTTAAAAGGTTTCCACGGAAACGCATTTCAATCGAATGTTGACGATATGCCCTCGGCAATTTAAATCTCGAGCGTATCGAGAGATCCGGTCGAACGGACACGTATATCTCGTAATTTCGCTTCTAGTGGCGCTTTTATCCACTATAGCGATTTACGGTTTGTATTTTTCCCCGACCGACATTCATCAAATGCGCGAGACTCCTACATGCGCAGTAATATCATATTCGAAATTACGGAACGAAAACGCGTTATACGAAAACGCGTAACTCGTTCTCGAATTTTTTTTACACATTACTTGAAACGTTAAAGTTCGCAACGCGAATTTGCATCGCAAATTGCACCGACTAAAAGTGGACTTATAATAGTAAGGAAAATCGCAATTATCTTTCATTTACGAGTTTCCTTTATTAATTCTGACGTTCCCCGTTTAGATCCTGAGAAACTTTGCGTCGCGTTTAATTCCCTCGGATTATAATTTAATCAACGCGAGTATAACGCAGTCGTTTAAACGCGTGTAATGTTTATATGCGAACGATCATATTTGAATGTCAAGATTGAAGCTATTTTCGACTTTATTATTCGTTTTTAATCCTTTATCATACATATTTTTTTAAACGCAATGATAGGGACATTTATGATGAATCGTAATGTTATCTTTAGCGCCAATGAAACGAGATAGATAACAGTAAAGCTCAATTGGCATAATCTATTCTCGTTGCAGCTTTTCAAAAGCGTTCATTAATCCCTGATATCCGATCGAGCATCAATCACCTCTCAACAATAATCGGCCAAGAGGATGATAATCATTGTTAACGTTTCGCGAACGTTCGCGGGGCGTATTGCCAACGAAATAATGCCAAAAGTATTAATGACGAATCTGGGTTAACGAGCAGACGGACACCGGGGGGTTACGTGTCCGTCAAGACTTCGAGAAATTTCTCAGGGAAAATGAGAGTGGCGAAAGAGGACGGACAGAGGACACCGGATGAAAGAGCGGAAGGGAGAAAGGCGGTACCCGAGGCCAAAAATTAAACGACCGAGAGGTTCGATTACAGAGCCTGCACGTTCTCCGCTCGGAAAGCCATCGACCGTTTCCTTCCCGCGCTTCCGCCAAGCGGCTCCGTCGTTACTCGAACAAAAGACGAGAGTCACGCTAGAAACGAATTCTGTAGTTCGCTCGACGATGAAAGACGGTTCTTACTGGTTTCAAGCAGCGAACGGCGGCGGGCTCTTACAAGCTGGAAAAGTCGCGAGGAAAAATTGCCAAACAGCTGTCGCGCGATTGCCGCTTATTTTTCTTCTTTACCACAATATATATTTAGAAATGCACATCACAATTTGCAATTCTTTTCTCTTTATTTATTTATCTTCTTTTATTTTCTCGAGTTGCATGGAAATTATTGCACGATTCGCCATCAGTATTGCCGATGGATTCGCGAAGCAACAGGAATTCGGGTGAACGAGAGGCTCTTCAACGTTTCGTTACGTTGCGTAACGTACGTGCCTCGTCGGCCTCATCGCTGTATGTCGCTCATGCGCATCTCGGAAGTTGGCTGCAATCCGCGCGCAGGCACGTTAAATACGATCCCCGGTGCGCTATTAAATGCTGCACGCGCCTTCATCAGCTGTCTGAACGGATGGATGAGCGCGAAGGAGCCCGGGAGATTTGCCGAAGTATCCACGTGCATCTCCGTGATGAAACCCGATCGAAATACGAACATTCAGCAGTTCACGTTGCGAACGGATGTAGAGGCGCGCGACGAAATATCTCGCGAAGAATAATTTATCCTTTGCTTTCCTTCGCTTTCCCTCTCCTCCGCAAAGTCGTTCGACATGTCTGCTTTTGTCTTTCTGAAATAATATTAATACGTTTCTCGCTGCAAACGTCGAATCTGCTTAAGGATGTGCTGGAGGATTTGTCAAAATGTTACGAAGTTGATGAAAATTTATAATTAATATATTCTGTATTCTTTTTCAAAGTTCGGGGCCTTTCAGATCGATTCACGATTTAGATAAAAAATTATTAATTTTTAAATATCTAAGTTTTAACACGTAATCTTATGGAGAAAAGTGTATAGAGGAAAGTATAAACATGAAAAAATGTTACCAATGATATTTTACACACAAATAGATCATCAATAAACAAAAATATAGCAACAAAATTTGAAACAATTTACAAACAATTTTTTTCGAGATTTTCTTTGGAAAGAATAGTAGTACTTAACAGTTATTTTACAGTCACTAAATCTACGTTTTACTTTTACATTCTATTAGATTTGCCGTAATTATTTATTATACATTTTTTTGTCTTTAGATCCCTGGAGAATTAATATCGGTGTTTTTAATATTCTCTGCATGACTTTTGATTGGACCGCTACCTCCAGATCCTTAATTTCAGACGATAAATGATAAGATGTCCCGCGAAAGTTTTGTTGTGAATCGTCCTTCTATTTTTATTAATCTGTGATAATAATAATAATCCAGTGGCACTACAGCTCGGGGAAAGCCTTGACCTGCATTACTATAGTAATGCGTTCATGACAGGTTTGTTTCATTAGATGGGACTAGAAGTCACCACGCTTATCGAGCGGGTTGGTGACTTTTTTCCTAAGGTACCTCATAGCGGTCGACGGCTATGAGTGGACCAACTGCTTAACGTCTCTTTCCGAAAGACGGAGCCCAAGTTTTCCCATCTAGAGGTTACCTCTATCCGTCAGATAGGGGGGTGCGGCATTTTTACTGAGAAATTCTCAGTGGCCCAGCGGAATTCGAACCCGGTTCTCCGGATTACGAATCTGGTGCTCTACCCATGGCACTAGACCGGCCGTCACCTCTTATCAATCTGTGATACCCGTGTTATTTATATCATAAAAGGGTTGAACATTTACTTATGCGGACCTTACTGAGACGAGCTGTCGCGGAAAAATCTGCATGTCTTACCGTTGCAGATTGTCTCTCGGGACGATCCGAGACGATCCGATCTCGCTGGATGTATTTTATTTTGCAAGAATTACAGTATTGACTGTACGAGAGAGAAAATTCATTTTTATAATCGCTCAGAGCCACGTTGCCGGGGCGCCCGAGCGCCGCCGCTCGTTTCCCCGCTAACGAAGTTCTCCCGTTATACGAGGATGCTGTATAAATCGCGTTTACGGTACTAAATTTAATGCATTCGCCGGGTCGCTCGCTATTAAGCACCGCACGTGTCTTCATCTGCTTCTTCCACAGTCGAATGAACAGACGAGGTGCATATAATGCGGAGGTAACGACGTAGGAGGGCACACAGGGTGGGAGGGGGGAGATAAAGTATAGCGGCGTGGCGCATTATATGGCAACATTCGTTTGCGGTTAATTAAGATTTAACTATTTCCACGGGTAAATTCAGCTACTCGAAATGCCCGTTTCTCTTCGCGTTCGCCTGCATGCACAGAAAGTCCGCATTCTTTTGCGGTGGCGAATGTTAATTATACGCGCGACGAGATGTATTTCACCCGCGCCGCGCGCGATAAGCCTCCTTTCCCTGAACATTTGTACCAACGATGCACACGTGCACCCGAGTGCGCGATTTACAGCATAAAGGGGAAAAGCATAAAAAAAAATGTATTCCCTCTTTTCCGTGTCGTGTGTGCTAACTGCGAACAGAACTTGTGCAACGAGAAGCGTCGCGACTGTGATTTGAGCACGCACGCGATGCAACGGAAGCTGCAAGGAAAACACGGCAACAAAACCGGCCCCATACGCGCTTAACGCTCGGCGCTCTACGTTATTTTTCGAAAAAATAAAAGAAAAACAAAACCAAAGGAAAAACTCGGGTTTGCACAGCCGCGATGCGCGCGAGCGTACGAAGTCGCATGTGGGAGCGAAACGAGCGGGCGAAAACTCCGGTTCGACCGGGACGCAAGAAAAGGTACGACTCGCGGCGGCGATTCGCGTACGTACCTATCCCCCGATTTCTAATTAGCGCTTGTTACATGCTCCGGGTTGCCTCGACGATCGAGCCCGTTATCCAGGTCGGCGATCGACGTTGAAACGCTGAAACGTTGAGTTCGACGTCTCGCTAATTACGCGACGACCGAAACAGCGACGCGGATTCTCGACTTTGCGCGGACGAGGAAAACGTTGATTATCGGCGCCACAAATCGTTAAGTCGCCACGAGCAAATCCGCGACGTTGTTAAGTAATCGGGCGTCATCGCGAGCGGCGCACAGCGGCGCTGTTTAACCGCTATCCCTCGCGCCGCGCGCGCTAATCCCGGGCGACGACGCGCGACGGCTTAAACAAAACCACGAGGAGCGCAGAACGCGGAATATCGATTGCGCGCAAGAAACCGCCGGTGCATCCGGTGAAATCCCGCAGCAAAAAAGCCGAGTCGAGGACACGCGGAACGGCGGCACCGACCCCGTCGCCGCTGATGTGTTAACGGCAGGAATGCGGTTCGATTTTTGCACTGTCCGCTCTACGGTTGGTGACTCGCGCGCACGGTGCACGCATACGCGCGCATTTAGCGGCGCGATGACGTGCCCGCTTGTCTGTCGGCTCTCTTGTTGCCGACCACCTCGCACAAGGTGGAAATACTTACCGCCGCTTCCTTTTTTTTTCTCCGCAAACCGGCCGCCTTCCGTTCGTTTCGAATCCCGGCACGGCCGGGGGAATAACGAACGCCGGGGTGCAAAAGGTCTCGCGATACAGCGATTATTTTACGTTCTTAATATTAATTCCATTTCGAGAAAGCCGCCTGACGGGCTCGCACCTGCCATATATTTCATTACTCACGACAGGATCGAACAAAATAAAGTGAATTATTTCGAAATATTAAAAGATAGATGATCGTGATATTATCGTGGCTCGTACTCGTTCGCCACGTTCATTCTGGTTCCCGAGTTAATTGCGCGGTTCTCCGCTTGTTGCAGGAAACATCAGGACCAAGGCGGTGCTCGACGTCGAGACGAAGAGGGGATACTGGTTGACCGTTTACGCCCAGGATCACGGAGTGGTTCCGCTGAGCTCGAGTCTGCAAGTAAGTTTCAGCAATTGGATCTTAAATTATACATAGAGATCGCTGGAAAAAGAAGCGTTCAGAAAAACCTGCGCACTATAAATAGGAATTAACAACATCGTTCTCGCCCGACGAGCTATTTAGTCAAATGGCTATTAATTACTGTTTTATCCGTTTCGATTTTATTTCTCAGCCAACAAATTTCGTTTTGCGTTTTAAATGTTTTTGTAAATTCTCAAGAAGGATGTGATTGCATCAATATGCCAAAATCCTACACGGAAAGAACGATTTTGCTGAAGTATCTAAAAACTTATTGTAGCTACTTAGATACAGATCTGAAAATAACTTTGTTGCGCCATCAAAATAATTATGTTGAACACTCAAACTGATTGCTAAAATGTCAAAATTTTCTACAGCATTATCATACTTCAGCGACCTATCATTATTTTGATGGTGCAACAAAATTATTTTTAGATCTCAGATCTGTATCTAGCTAAATTTTTAGATACTTCAGCAAAACCGGTTTTTTCCGTGTACAAAGTCGCGAATTTAATTTAACGAATGCGCGGTGGTTTTGTTTAATGGATGATTAAACGGCTCTCTTCGCGCGTGTGCAGGTCTACGTCGAAGTGCTGGACGAGAATGACAACACGCCGCTGACCGAGCTTCCCGTTTACTATCCATCCGTGGCGGAGAACTCGCCCGCCAGCGTGAGCGTCCTGCAGATCCGCGCCTTCGATCGCGACGTCTCGCCCCAGCAATTCGTCTTCACCATCAGCAGCGGCAATCCGGAGGGTTATTTTCTCATCAACTCCACCACCGGTAAGTCCCGACCGAGCGCCAGGGCTCGTATATCGCATCGACGGCAAAATAATACCGGTCTCGCGGCAGGATCAGAATGACGGGTCTTTAGCCACACCCGGTAGCCGGTAATGAGTTCAATCTCGCTCGGACGAGAGTTTTAATAGATCCGTTACGCGGAACCGGGAGATTGGCCGCTTCCGTGAAAAGAGTTTTCAGTCGAATTCTCGTTCGTTACCGAGCGAAATCAAAGGATGAGATATTGGCTCCTCATGGACGATCCTATAACACGTTGTCTCGATGGTTCCGTGTCGTGGACGCGTATAGAAAATTATGTTTCCGACAGATAGACGCGCGATCTATCTCTATTTTAATGACCTGTCTCTCTCTCTCTCTCGGACTTAATAACGCAACTCCGCGATATACCTATAAGCGCGTCTAAAGATACGTTGTTCTTGCCTCACTTGGCCCGTTCATGCAAATGAGTGATCGAATGTCGATCCATATTCATCAGTCCTTTATCGTCTCGTTTAGCCTTCCTCCTCGCGTGAGACGCTCGACGCTCGGATTATAAAACGATCAGATTGCCTATCTCGCAAGCTCGTTAGATCTAGGACAGCGTCATGCTTTTGACTTCAGAGCCTTCATAAATAACGTAAGAGGCAGCGTTAAGGCCAAAGCACATAACATGGTGTAGCGATATACGACGGTCGTAGTCCTCGATCTGAACAAATCAGGATACGCCAAAGCTTGTGCGTTATTAAGACCGTGACATATAAGAAAACTTAAGCAGTAAGCAAATCAGCCAATCACAGTCAAGAACTTATGGCACGGCCCTAAGCGATAGCGAATCAATACCGTTGATTTCCTTACTGCTTAAGTGTTTCTATGTGCCACGACCTTTACGTTGTTTAACGCTATCTATTATTAGAAGTACCTGACGTCTGTCTGTCTGTATGTCTGTCTGTCTATCTATCTATATCTGACCGCGAACTACTCATTCGTTAATGGACCGAATTTTAAAAAATTATATATGAAACAGGGGTAGAATTTTCCGGGGAGTGCCATAAAGTGTATAATTTTTCGTAACCGATTTTTTGGAATCCGATACCGAATTTTTTCCAATTTCTCGGGAATTAATTGACCGAATCTTAAAGAATTATATATGAAATTATATATGAAATAGGGATAGAAAGAACTAAAGAATGTAAGAGAATTAGAAAAATTACTAATAATAAAGGGGTTTTTTATTTTTGTTTTAAAAAATGTACGTGATTGCTCTAATTTCCGCAAATTTTGAGATATCAAGCTGAATTTTTTTTTATGGATAATTTTTATGGATAATTTTTTGTTAGCGATTTTTTGGAAACCGGTTTCCAAACGTGTACGATGTCACGAATGGACGTGAAACGGAAAGTAATGCATATAGCAGACGAGAACTTTATATTTTCGTACTCGCCGGGGACTTGACGCGGAAGGAAGTACCTTTTAAAGCGATGAGATTGTTGGTTTATTGAAACAGGTATTATTTCCCTTCGAAATCCGAAAGTCGTCGAGATTATGCCCGGTTCTTTACCGATTCCTGGCGCTCAACCAGGCACGTTCCCGTCACAACGAACATCGCGTATTCTTCGAAAGTTGTTTGCGATCGGTATTAGTATGCAAAATGAAAGTCGGTTATACCGAGAGATGGTTCACAATAGAAAAAAGTCGGCCGACGCGGACGTTTGATTTGTATTCATCGCCGTCGGCCAATCCCCGGAAACTTCTCCTCCGTCAGCTGGCCAGTCCGTTTCGCGTGCTATCCCGTCCGCTGAACTTTTAATGTTCGGAATTGTGCAAAACTTGGCCCGGCTCACTCGCGAGTGGCGACCCTTCCGTATTTCCACATGCGAGGAGAAAATGGGGCGAACAGTCGACCGGACGAGCCTTAAAACGAGTTAAACGAATGGCCCGACATATGTATCGCGGTATTGCGGTCGCTCTTCACTGTATGCCAAACGGAAATACTTGATGGCTATAACCGATGAATCGACTATAAATGTCAGCGGGTTATCATCAGTGTAACGCTGATATACGAATCTCGTATTCATGGCTATTATGAAGCTTGCTATTATAATCACTGAAAGTCCGAGTACATTCACGCCGCAATAATTATTTCTTACCTTTGATACACTTTGTTTATTTATATGTATGAAGTAGATGAAAAATATTCCAAAAATCTCTTTCATGCCCTTTGTCTTTCAGTTTTTTATTACGTATTATATTTTTCATATGTACTTTTGGGTATTATATTTATAACAGTAAACAATAATAGTAACAAATTTATTATTAATAGCTGATTTTAATTGTTACATGCAAGTTATTTAATTTGTTTTTAACAAAAATTTGAATAATTAGTTAATTAAAAGTAGAAAGGAATGATATTGATTTAATAAATCAAGAAGAAATATCATTATTTCTTGCGGTAATGTCATTCTCTTGGAATAAATATATATTGATATATTCGATTATTAAATAGGATGCCTAACAATAATTTTTATGAGTTTTATATCTTCTATCTTTATGCTTTTGACGTAATGATTTATATTACTTAATTTTGAAACGTAGTTTTATACCAAATCTAGAAATCTAATGTTACATTATTAAATTGATAGTATAATACTATCGATACTATAATATATAATAAGCATTTTATGTAAATCTACAAGAAGTATATTACTACTTATTAAAATATCAATTTTCTTGCTTTATTAAAACACGAGAAAAATTCTCGGTTTATAAAAATTATACGATTTTATTTAATCCGGAACGTAAAAACATAGCAAAAAATAACAAATTTATTTGCGTGTATAAATATTTCTTGAAACATGTTGATGAAAAAAGGATAAAGTTTGTTTGCGAGGAAACATTAAATCTATATACATGCGACGATGTTTGTCTATTCATCAAAATATTATAATAATCTGAAAGACATGAGATATTTATAACTATTTTGCAATAAATTAAACATTTTAGATAACGGATCTCCCCGCGGGCACGCAGTTTTGGTGCTTATTTTGTGGCTTTCAAAAACATCGCGTTGCCATTCGAGCGAACGAGACGCTCCGTGCGTTATAACATTATTTTTTCAAGAATAGGTATGTGATAAAAACTGAAAACAAATCGCTATATCATTCTCTACAGACGGTATACTATTAATAGATTACAAGTAACAATTCACGTCGAGCATATCAAGGTGATATTTATCGAAGCAGATATTTTGCGCGGATTTATTTGAGGAATTGAAGCGGTAGAAAATAGGGATTATAAGTTATTGTTTTGTATACCTACGCAACAATAACGATTCCGTTAGCTTGGATACGCACATATTGCGGCGCGGTTTAAATTTTCCACCGAGTGTAAGTGTAATTTACTCACTATTTGGAGCACGGAATCATGTACATTATCGTAAATCGAGAAATTCGAGTAAGCTATGATATATTGATCGTTTTTCTAATAATGTATTTTATTTTAATAACACATTCAACACACACACACAATACATTACATTCGTTAATAAAATACCTATTTCGCGAGATTTATACGCGTCCGAAATGTACTGTACAGCACTGAATTATATAGCATATTTTTGGACGATCATCTCATTAATCGACTTCATTATATTATATGCTATTAGAAAGTTACCGATATTTTGGTCATTAACGGAACATTACGGGTACAGGACGGATTGATTCCGAAGCGAGCAACATCGTAACGCATTTAATTAACAAGTACCGTCGTATAATTAATCCTACATATTAATATTTCATTGCATCGTAAATGCAGTGTTTACCGGTGTGAGTTATTAAAACCCTTCACTCGAGATTTATTTGTTACGCTCATTCGCGAGACGTGTGTCAAGCGGATTTGTAGGGAGTTTTTGCAATACCGTCTTTCAGATACGGTAAACGTATCTGAATTATATGGATATTAGATATACGTATATAGATACGTTCACCGTCTAAATTCACATTATCGGTCGAAAGGCAAAACTGCGCATGCACATCATTCACTGTAACGCTATTCAAATAACGTTCGACGTTATTTTTAAGAGAATAAGATTCGCGATTACCGTCGACGTCATGACTACTGTAACAAAATCCCTAACGTGAATTTAGACGGTGAACGTATCCGCTTCGTTTAATCTGACAGGCATCCGAGACGACGACGGAACAACCATGAACTGAATAATTTATTATTTTTATTTTATTCATTATTTGCAGAATTATTTATAATTATTTGCAGAGTTATTTATAATTATATAATGTGTGCACACGTAACTAGGTATATCTTTAAAATATTTATTATTTTGAATATTATATTATAACCTGAATATACCTACATGTATTGTATCAGATCAACGTAATGAAACTCGATTGCTGTGCGTTGTATCAATGAGACACACAATATATAATTTTTTTAATTTGAGGTAATGAATTTGTTGAAATAATGGATTCATATGAAACATGCATAAGATGTATGTGTCAAGTTAAAAGAACAGGAATATTATGGCTAAATGTAATATCTCATAAATCCTTTAAGTTTACCATAAAATGAATGAATTAAAATAGATTAATGTTAATATTCAACCCTGGCACTTGCACGATTATCCATTCAATTATTGTATAAATTAAAAATGATAGGAGATATTTCAGATAGAGTAGGGGAGACCGGGACTCATTGGCACCGTTTTCACAATTTCGGCATTTGAGTTTTTAAACAACTAATTTTCATGATTAAACAGTGCTAATATGATAAAGAGAATCTTTCTCTACATTTTAATAAGTGAAATACGAACATGCTGCATTGCAGCCAACTTGCCCCAATCCATGTCCAAAAGTTCATGTTAAATTAATGAAAACGTAATAGAAACACAAAACGGGTAACAGATATGTACTTCTTGGTGAAGATTGTATCTTTTAAAGTTATTTTGTAATGATCAAATAACAAAATGCTATTCCAGAAAAATAATTGTAAAC